TTTTTCTCTCTAATCTTCATCTTTCATACGAAGAAAAGAATATAAACTATCTAGGAAAGTATGCATATCTTACATTTCTGCTAGTAGATTTACTGCATTTCTTTAGAGTAGGAATCCAAATGTGAAGCTCAACACTGCCATTTACACCTCAAAGTTCTGCATGTTTAGCAAATCAGGTTGCATGTGCCAGTCTCTGGGGACTCTAAATGACACTGAGTTTTTGCCAGTCAGTGACTGGCAGAACCAAGGTAGGACGATGGGTCAGACTGGGATTGAGGGAATGTCAGATCTCTGACTCACGAGCTTGAAGAAACAAGATTGCTTACTGGCATCAGAATATGCTTGGACTCCTTGCAGGCACAGAATCATTTTCCTAGAGGGAAAACTCCATAAACTTCTTCCCAGGAGGGAGTACATGCAGGTGGTCCTAGAAGGATTTAGCAAGACCTTACGAATCAAAATTTTCTCTGCTTTATAGGAGCATTTACAAAATATGAAATTTCCAGCCCTGACTAACAATCTCCACAGTTTACACGCTCCTATCAAAACACTACTTAACACTAGAGATGAGCCATTCAGCCTCGATATGGGCCCTATAAAACAGAGACTACTCAACAATCTCAACATGCACCTAAATCTGCAGGGCATCGAGTGGAAAGTTTTAACATCTCCATCTTTTGTTTCAGTCCCAAAGGTTGAGCCTCTATATAAAGAATTTGTCAGACCAATAAATACTCATTTCAGTTATCTGATGCCCCCAAGATGCTCTTGAAATACTCTCCCTTTCTCACACAACTGCAATTTACATATGCCTCGCTCCATGACAGTGCACTGGTGCTAAGATACATTCCACATTCCATGCCTTCATGCCTACATTATTCCAAACTCAGCCTCTGCCTCCCCGGGTCCTTCTCCTCAAGTCATCCTGTCTCTATAACTTCCCATGGCATGCTCCTCTGTGTGAATGTCTGTGTCCAAATTTCTGTCTTTGTATAAAGGCTCCAGTCATTGGCATAGGGCCTAACTAGTCCATTGTGACCTTATCTAAAGGATTACATCTGCAATGTCCTATTCCAAGATAAAGTTATATCCACATGTACTGTGTTTAGGATTGAACTTATCTTTTTGAAGGGCATAATTTTACCCAGAACAGGAGCCATCTAACGAAGCCATCCAGGGTTTAATTGCAGGAGCTGACTTACAATAGGAGTCAATGAGGAAAAGAGTTTGGCATAAAAAAAGGATCTGGGTAAGTGGAAAGGTCAGAAGGTTTTGAGTTCCCTAGCTGTGTTCTATGGGCCAATTCAGAGTTAGATGGAAAAGAAAGACTGATATAAAAGTTAAAAGAGCAGTTTTTAGGGCCTCCCTGATGGTGCAAGGGAGTAAAACGCAACCTCTGAAGCTGTCCGCAGCCACAGCAGCATGAGTTTGATACCCAGCCAGGGAGCTATCCACATGGTGCAGCAGATCTCTCCTGACTCACCCACTGCTCCCCTCAACAGTGTATATCAGTCAGTCTTCCTGTTCAGTTCCTCACTCTGTCTCTGGTGAATCCTCTCACCCCTCACACCTCTGGCCTGTACCCCAGTTCTTGTATGCATAAATAAATAAATCTTTTTTAAAAAGAGCAGTTTTTCATAAGGGGTCCTGTGAAAATTTGGATTCAACAAACAAACCTGCAACAGAAAAGTAAGAAGACATTTTCTGAATTGCTGTGGAGACTATGGGCCACAGCCAGGGGACAATGCATTTAATAAACATCTATTGAAATCTGACCCCACCATAGTTTTACTTCCTTGTAGTATCAACAGTTCACATTTCCTTTCCCTACTCAGTTTGTAAGACTTGAACGGAGCTGCCCTTTCCCTGGGAATCACATGCCTAGGGCCTGATCACTTCAACTCACACCTTTCATCAGGATGATTGGATTAGGGAAGAGCATGTGATACCAAATAATCAACAGGATTCAAGTCCATGGCCTCCTAGAACTAGTTAAGCAATCATTTTGATCCACTTTACTTTCTAAATTGAAAATCACCTTTTTGTATATGATGGCAATTTTTAAGATCTACTCTTTTACCAACTTCCAAGCATACAACACAGTCTTATTAGCAATCACCACCATGTTATACATTAAGCCTCATCGATCACTGGAAACTTATCTGCTATGATCAACACCGGCCATGTCCCTCACCATTCAACCCCTGACAACCACTATTCTATTGTCTGTTACTACTATGAGTTTGAGTTTTGAATTCTATCTATAAGTGAGATCATAACATTGTATCTTTCTCTGACTTATTTTAGTTTTACAATGCCTTCAAGTTCACCTGTGCTGTCACAAATAGCAGGATTTCATCACTTTTGTGGTTGAGTAATATTCCAGTGTGTGTGTGTGTTTAATATTGTCTGGATAGGCAATTAGGTTGCTTCTGTCTTGACTATTATTAATAATGCTGCATGGGAATGCTGTGAAACACTAAAATTTAAAAGATGTCACCACCAAAAAAAAAAAAGGTAATTGTGTGAGGTGATGGATGTGTTCCCTAATGCTATTATGGTAACCATTTTGCAATAAATATGTATATTAAACCAGTGTATTACATATACCCTAAATTATACAATACTGTATATCAAACATATCTCTTTAAAACTCATACAAATAACTCATACAAATCAGACGTAATCCTTTATAAGACACTACATTGGTTTTGTTGTAATGTTTTGAAAATAAAATACTTTCATGTAAAATATACTTCTTGCTTTTATGACACAACTAGATATAGAAACCAAAGACATGAAAAGGGAGCATCAGAGAATCAAGGAAATAGATTTTACTCTAATCCTCCAATTTGTGATTTGTAGTCCATGTTGGTATTAACTTAGCTCTGATAATTTAGATAAAGTTGAGAGATTTTCACAATCTGTCCAATTGAAATCATAAATGAGATTTTTATGCTATTTGAGTCTATGTAATTTGCATGATACAGGGGTTCCTAATAATGCGTTTTAAGTCAATTTGATTAACTAATCTTTAAACGATAATTTTGTCTCTCCCCCCAAAAAAAAATTATATCACTGAAGTGATTTAGAACAATATATGATACTAGAATTTTAATTAATAAATTCTAAGATAAGAAATAGATGTTCCAAATCTATGTTTCAGATAGTTACAGAAATTTGTTGCCACATTGCCATCCATTAGCCAAGAAAATGAATAATCACTAGAAGAAATATGTTAACTAAAATGAATTTTACAGAAAAAAAAAAAAGATTGTCAATGAATGTTTAATAGAAAATGACTGTTGGTCTCTATCCCATAGAGATTGCCTGCCTTAACCTGAACCTTAAACAGAGAAAAAGTTGAATCAAGTGATGGAGAAATAGAAAATTGTAAATAGGAAGAGAAAATAAAAAAAACTGCAGAAAAAGACACAAAAATGTAAAGAGAAAGAATGAGGGCAATGGAAACCTGCTGACCCCATGATACTTTTGGTTGCAACCTTCCCTTCCCTTGTATTTTTAGCTATATAAGCTAATAAATTTCCTTCTTTTGGCTTAAGTCAGTTTGAATTGGATTTCTGTCACGTATAACATTAAGTGTCCCAATTGACATAAAGTCCACTTGGCTGGGTGTAGGCACTAAGGCTTTGAAAGCAAATGAAGTCAACGCTCAGTTACAACAAAGTTGCTCTAGTAAGGACAGAGAGCCATGGTCACAGAGACTGGGGGTTTCAGTGCAACCTCACATCATTTTCTAGACAAAGACCTTTAAAATGAGTGGCATAGGGTTGAACATGAGAGTGTCTGTATTAATAACACCTAAGTCATCTGAGGAGTACATACACAGCTAGAATAATTTACAATGCTCAACAATACATGTGTAGATCACAAGGCCACAAATTGCCAGTATTATGATTAATGGAAAATTATTTGTATCCATTAGCTGAAGAGTGCTAGGGGACATTTTGACCACAAATCATAAACAGAGTGACTCATAAGTGCCCCGCCCCAGTTTCCATTGAGATTCAATTTCTATTGTTGGATGAAAAAGTTAGAGTTAGCTTCTTCTCTCCCTAGATTAAACACTTAGAACAAAAGTCAGAATAAAGAGAAGAGGCCAGGGAATGTGGATTTGAGCTTGCACATGTGTGCACATGAGCACTGTAGGGATTATTCAAATGTGGATTTTCACATGGGTACAGAATGAAGCTGAACACCAACTTTGTAGCATCAAGCAGTTGGCCATGTATTCTTTCTTTGTATGCACTAATTAGGAATAGAGCTTAGCAAACACAACTTCTGGAGTGTGCTTGGATTGTTTTCTCTTAGTCAAGGAAGTATTCCTTTTTAGCGCTGTGATTTAAGGGAACATAGTATCAATACAAAGTGAAGGGTCAATGAAAAAAGAGAGGTCAAGATGACACCAAAAGTGAATTTTTAAAGACAGATGTGCATTTTAATGGCAAACTGAACAGCACAAGATTATAGAGGTCTACAAAATTAAATGTTTAAAGTATGAAAGCTTTAATTCTGAGGACAGGATCAAAATGTAAACCACAAACATGAAGGCCCCCCCATAAAAATCTGAATTAAGTAGAACATCAAACTTAGCATGTACAATGTGAAAATTAGTGCACAGATACGGACAACAGTTGCTTCCTGATATGATTACAGAAACGATGTTTAATTTCTTCAGCATAACTGCTAGATATCTGTGTATAATATACATATATATTAAGCAGTGCATTATATCATTTTGAGTAATAGTCATTTCACCAGCTATAAGCTCCATTGAAAGGTCAAATCAAAGTCAGATTCTACGCTCCAAAGACATGTCTCCAATGGCCTCTCTAATAACTGACTGCTGTCAGGCTTGAGCAGGTTATCTAAATTTTGCAAACAAATATTGTCTTAAGCAGGCTTAATCAGCTACTTAGCTGCCAGAATAAACGTGTGCACACTGGAGGCAAATGAAGCGCACACAAACAGGTGCTCACCTTTTCTCCCTTGAGGATCTTGGCAGTTTTCATGAATGCACAGGCCCCAGGCTGACCAGGAAGACACGATGCAGTCTGTAGAGCAAGGGATATTGCAAAGCTGAGAGGCCGGAGGTGCAGGTCCCAAACATAATGTCTTTTCCACAGGCCTCGAAACTGAAATACAAAAAAATAAAAAATAAAAAATAACAACAACAATGGCCCGTGTCACATCCTCTGAACAGCCCTGCAATTCTTTGTCTTTACTTGTGTGCCTGTCTTGCCCACTTCAGCTTTACGGTTCAAAGGAGAATATGCAAACAAAACATCAACACTCTAATACTCATTGCTTAGCTCTACATTATTAGTGTTTTGGGTAAGGAAAGGCAAAACAAGACAGCTATAAAGGGCATAGTTTCATGCTTCTTAGACAATTCCCTGGGACTCCAAATCAGACTGCAAATACAGGTACAAATTATCTAGAGTTATGATTTTAAAAAAAATTAAATGGCTTTGTGAAGTTTCAAGATGAGTCTATCTCCTCTATATAAATGACTGGGTTGCTATGAAAAAATCAAGATTGAACCCCTGAGGTGGGGTGTTTAGCATAACCAATCTACTGCTGTTACTCCCTTGAGGGGAGGAGCTCTCAAAGACACAGAAGAAAAATGGTTCTTAGAATAAGAAAAATCAGGATCTGGGACTCCAGAATTAGCCCCAGGAAGTCAATTTCATTAGTGAGACTACCCAGAGGCACAGGGAGTGTCTGAGAAGTCACAGGGGGAATGAGAGTTAGAGACTTCCTTCTGAGTGTGCCCAGACTAGGTTGCTTCAGGATGCAGTGACTATTTGTCCAGCAGCAGCATTTGCCAAGTGCCTTTTCTACCCAGTCTGTGCACCATGAAAATACAATGAAGATGACAAGATCCTGACCCTTGTGAAGATTGTAACAGAACAGGAGCTAGGATAGTGATACTTAAAAACAACACAGTAAAAGACTCAGCTGAATGAGTTCACTACACAGAGGGGCCCCACACTAAGAAAGTTTTTGAGCAGTTAAGAGTTTGTGAGCAGTTTCTGTCCAGATGGTTCTATCCTATAGACTGGATGACACTATTGTCTAAACTTTTCCTATATGCCATTTGCATACAGATAAGTAGATTTATAAAGATTTTAAAGGTGGAGACCAGCACTACAGAACTGGATGGGGAGTCATATCATCTGCTTTGCTTCCTCACTCTTAACATGCGATAAATCTGGCAAGGGTGACTTTAAATCACTGCTCTTACCAGCAGGACTTTGAACATTAATCAAAACAAGAGCAAAATAAATAATTCTATCATAAAGAAATTGTAACCCATGGGAAAAAGTGTTTCTAATCAACAATGGGCAGTCTGAGGAGATTATGAAGGTGACTGGGAAAAAACCAAAGGTTGCAAAGAAAAATAATAATGATGCTTTGTCTGCAACTAATTCTTTTACAGCTTGCTGAAAGGATTTGAGCTGACTTAGAATAAAATAAAAGACAGGGCAAAGCAAGACTTCTAAAGTAAATGTCAAAGATTGCAAGCCATGTGGGGAGAAAGGGAAGAGAGATTAGGTAATGTGGGAAAATAATGGAATGACCAGGGGAGGCTGAGAGGAGAAGGTGATCAGCCTTCAAAACAGGAATGGGGTTTGTGGGTGCCGAAGAGAAGACATGTATTCCTGAGTAAATTATGAATTTATTCCCAAATCACTGAGGTCCCATTCAGAATCAGCCACTCTGGATGGTGTCTGCCTTCAAAGGCTCTCAGTCTTGATCGGTAAATCAGGTAGCAAAGTACCACAACTGCTGGAAAAAAAGATGCTTCAGAGCATCATCTAAGTAGAAAACAGCAAAGCCAGAGGTCTTCGGGAAGGTGTACGCTTCAGTGCAGGCCCATCCCACGCTTGTTAGTGGGTATTCTCACAAACGTAAACATTGGGTCCAAAAATCAAACCTCAGTTATGATGGAAAAGGAAGTGGGACATATGAATGAATTAATCAACTTGTTCAATAAACATTTCTAGTGTATTCCAGGCATTGGCTATAAGCATCAATTCATGTAACCTGCATAATTCCTTTTGAGACAGTATTATTATCCCTAGTTCAAAAATGAGGAAACTGAAGCACACAAATATTTGCTCACTTGCCCATTTTCCCAGTTAGTTAGCAGTGGAGCTGGGATTTGGATCCAGTTGGTCAGGCTCCAAAATCTGTCTCTTAATCACAGAATATGGAACCTTATAATTGGTCACCCAACCTACATTGAATAAATGCCTACTAGGTATGAACATTGTTAGGGGTTGAAGTCGGAACAGTGAGTAAAACAGACAAGGTCCCTGTCCTCATAGAGCCCATATGCCAGTAAGAGTTCATACTAATCACACATAAATCTATAAGCCCCAACATGAAGGCTAGGAAAACAGTTACTACTGCCATTCTCTTCTGTGTCATGGCTGTTTGCCTGCAACACCAACAGACCTTAAGGGTTTGATGATCAATGCTGAGAAGATATTGGTGGCACAAGGGGTTAAACCTTAGCACTATGAAGCTATCCACGGTCACAGCGGTACGAGTTCAATCCGCAGCCAGGGACGTGACCCACATGGTGCACCAGACCTCTCCTGTCTCACCTGCTGCTCCCCTTAGCAGTATATTTCAGTAGATCTGCATGTTCTGTTCTCCACTGTTTCTGATGACTTCTCTCACCCTCCCCAAACATGGAGCCTACACCCAGCTCTTGTATGCATAAATAAATGCATCATTTGTAGTGAAAAAGGAACTCTCCTACATTGCTGGTGGAAGTGCAAACTGGTCCAACCACTATGGAAAGTTGTCTGGAGGTTCCTCAGTCTACTAAAAATGGAGCTACCATATGACCCGGCAATTCCACTCCTAGGGATCTATCCAAAGGACACAAAAACATTAATTCAAAAGAACACCTGTACCCCTGTGTTTATTGCAGCACTATTTACAATAGGTAAAACCTGGAAACAACCCAAATGCCCAAAAATAGATGACTGGATCAAGAAGATGTGATATATATACACAATGGAATATTATTCAGCAATCAAAATAGATAAACTCATGCTATTTGTAGCATCGTGGATGGAATTAGAAGGAATTATGCTCAGTGAAATAAGCCAGAAGGAAAAATAAAATTATTGGATGGTTTCACTTATAGCAGGAATATAGGGGAACAAATAAGACATCAGTGTAAAAAATAATAATAACAGTACAAAACACAACAAAGCAAAAACAGACAATTATAAATCAGAGACATCCTGCAGGGGAGGAGGAGGGAAAGGGATTGGAGGGAGGGAGGGAGGAGCACAGGGGACTGTGGTGATGGTGCATAGGTACACTAGTGAAGGAAACTCAATGGGGACTATACCTGAGGGGTGGGGGAAGCAAATATTGTTTAAAAATGAACAATGATGTAAAAAAATAAAAAAATGAATATAAAAAAATTAAAATAAAAAAATAAATATATCTCTAAAAAAAAAATTAGTCCATCTACAAGTGTAACACTCAGCACACAGCAGATCTGTACTAAATCTCATTAGAAGCTCCAGAATATCTATGCAGGTAAGGCTTCAGGTGGGCAATGTCAGTGGAAAGAGACCGGGGAACTTGTCCTGAAGTAGCATTTGTTAAGGACAGTGCTATGCAGATATTATGTGTCAAGGCTGTTTTATTATTGGCGGACTGGTGAGGATGATTTGGATGTGTCAATCACGTAACTATTAGACATTGGAGCTAATGGTATTCTTAAGACTTAGAAGAGGGATATGATGTGCTGAGAGGAACAGGAAGGGACTTCCCTGGGGACAACTAAGTGACATAATTGGAGGCCCACGGGTATACATGAGGCCATTTGTTGGTGCACTCATGCCTCTTCAGCACCTGCTGCTTTGACAGGCAGCAGATCTTCATTCATATCAATAAATTCTTCTAGTCCCAGGCAGTATGTCTGAGATGCTTCATTTAGGCATTGAATCAATGTACTTGGATCAACCTATATCTATCTCAGACCCCCTGGGCTATATTTGTTCTAGAAATAAATCATGGGTAAGTCACAAAGCACTTACCAGCTTCTGACCACTTAGATAGTCATCTCCCCAAGAAGAGTGAGCACAGGATATTTCTATGCCTATTGAACACTAGAGATGGAAGGGGACTTGAGAGCTAATTTAGTTTAATTTATCAATTTTACTGAAAAATTGAGCTCCAAAGACCTTAGGTGTTTTATCCAGTTCACTCAGCAAGTCCAGGGCAGAGCAAAACTTGAGTCTTGTCCCAAGGGGTTAACTGACCACCTATCTCTTAGTTTTCCTTCCAGGAATGGAGGCATCATGCAGGACAGCTGAAGCTTTTTGTACCAACCTATTTTGTTTATGAACAAGTGACCACATGGGAGTCAGCCAGGGACAGTACAGATCCAAATTACCTATTCATAAAGACTACAATTTTACCCTTTAAATAAAATTCAAATCATTCCTTCCCCTCCGGGACTCTACTTTGAAACTCCTTCCAAACTCCCTCCCAGATCTCCCCTACCTACCAAGCAGGAGGTAATGAGACCAAAATAGTATCCACTGCAAACAACTTTACTTCTTTTATCTGTGGTCATTCATGTCGCAATAAAATTATCTTGCGGGGGTGGTGGGGCAGAGATCTGACCTTGGCCACCTTGAATCAGAGAGTCCGTATAGTTTAATGATGGAATCTTCACTTTTTTTGGGCCAAACTCCATACATGATGTTTGTAGGAAGAATTGCTGCTTTTCTACTCACCTCTACTCCTTGCTCTAGATCTACAGACTAAAATAACTTTATGAACTCTGTCTTCTTTAGTGCAATGAATTCCTGTTCTCATCATGCACCTATTTGGTGCAAGTCTGTGCCTATCACACTTTTCTCCAGTTGCCTTTTAGACCATGTCACCTTGAAGCTCTGTCATTTCTTCATCGCCCAATTTCCTGAGTAGATAAGCAACTTCCAAAGTCTCCTAGGCTAGTTAGGTTTGGTAGGCAGCAGTGTTAGTCTCCACAGAGACTGCTCATGGTCACTAGGTGTTAAAGACCCCAAATAAATTAGGACTTGGATAAACTGAAATCACTATGGAACAGAAGCTTTCTGAATGCTAGGGG